TCTGCGCTGCTCGACTCTCCGCGCTCCCGCCGATGCAGGTCCACCCCTCGATCCCCACGCCGCTTCGCGCACTCGCTTCTCGTCTTCGCCCCCCACCCTGTTCATTCTACTTCGCTCCGCTGCCGCTCGGCCACGGGGCGGGGGGGTTGAAGCCCCCGCGCGCGCGTCTTCCCCCCCGCCCTTCCCGCTGGCGATGGCCGCGCCGCCGCCGCGCGCCGCGGCGCCGCCGCCGCCCCCCCCGGCGATGGCTGGCCCTGCGGGCGCCGCGGCTGCGGCCGAGCATCCACGGGCCGCAATTGCGGCCCTCTTCCGGCTCTGCGGGGGGCTGCGAGGCTGCGCGCTTTTGACTCGGGCAACGCGCGCGTCGAGGAGTACGCGGCCGAGAGGCGCGCCAAAATGCTGCTGCCCCCCCCCCCCCCCCGCCGCCGCCGCCGCAGCCGCGTCGGGCGGCGCAGCAGGGCGCGGGAGTTAAGCGTGCTATCACCACCCCGCCCCCCATTTTTAAAAAATAGAAAATACTCGCGCGAGCTTTGCTTGCGCGAGCTTTAGTTGCGATCTTTGCTCGAGCGAGGATTCGATCCGCGCGTCATCGCTGACGCCTCCACCCCCCGCCCCTTCCCGCGCCCCCCCTCCCCCAGCGCGCGCGCCCCTTCCCCCCGTCGCCCGCGCGCAGGACAATGGAGAAGAAGTTGCTGTCGCGGAGCTGCGGCGTCAGCTCGCGGAGGCGCGCGCATGCGCGCGCGCGTTCGCGCGGGGTGGTTGGGGGCGTGTGATTGCGAGCGCAGCTCGCTGATCAACGGGCTGGTCAGGGCGCGAGCTTTGCTCGCCCCGATCAACCCGATGACGATCTACGTTTCTGCTTCCCCTTAGCTATCTCCCCCGCCCTCTCCCGCCAGCACAGCAGGGGGGGCGTTGATCGCTCCGAGGCGCCCCCCCCCCCCCCCCCCCCCGCAGGCGCAGCAGGGGCTATCTCCCCCATCCCCTCCGCAGGCACAGCAGGAGCTATCTCCCCCATCCCCCCCCCCCCCCCGCCCCCCCACCCCCCGCAGGCGCAGCAGGAGGCCGACCAGGCGCCCCTCCGTGCCGCGGAGGCGACCATCGCGATGGCCCGCAAGCTCTCCGAGCTGGCGGGGGATCTTGGAGAGCGCGCGGCGCGCGAACGCACGATGGCCGAGCAGGCGAACGAGCGCATCGCGGCGCTGGTCAGGGTCCACGGCCTGCCCCTGCCGCCGTGGATGGCGCAGGCGCCCTTCGCCATGTGAGCGTCGCTCGCCCCCCAACATCCTCCTCGCCCTCCTCTGAACTCCCCTCGAGGCGGCCGCCGCGGCGCACGGCGAGGCGGCGGCCGCGGCGCGCGACGAGGCGGCGCTGGAGGAGGCCGCGGTGCGCAAGCGCCAGCTGGCCGCCGCGCAGCGCTTCCGCGCGCAGCGGCGCAGGCTGGAGATCAGCCAGCAGCGCCGCGCGGAGGGGCGCGCGGCGCAGTGCGAGGTGCGCGAGCTGGCGGCGCAGCAGCGGGCGAAGTCTCGCGCGCGCCAGGCGGCGGCGCTCTTCGCCAAGCGCGCGGCGCCTTCGGCGCCGAAGGCTGGCCCCGAGCCCCCGCCGCCGAAGGCGCCGCCCGCCTGGCTCGCGCAGGCGGGGGCGAGGTCGGAGGCCTCGGCGGCGGGCCCGCGGGCGGGGCCGTGCGGCCCCCGCCTGGGCTCCTGAGCTGGCCGCCATGACGACGATGGCGACGACGACGACGTCGACGACGACGACGTCGACGAGTCGACGTCGTGCGACGGCGGCCGACGACGACGTCAGACGACGACGACGACGAACGTCAGGCGACGACGACGACGGCGACTTGCGGGCGAGGCTCGAGCGACAGGCTCCCGGCTCGCCGCGACTTGCGGGCGAGGCGCGAGCGACGGGCTCCCGCCAGCTCGCCTGGGTAGGAGCTCTTGCCGCGCAGCTGCGCGGCCGGACGTGATCGCTTCGCGCGCGGTTGCTCATGCGCGATTATCCTCAACCTCCACTTCGCCCCTTCTCCATCGGTCGTGCCGCCGCCGTCGACGTCGTGATCCTTGCCTTTGCGGCGCGCTATGCGCGCCCGCCGCGTTTCCAATCGCGCGTTTTGCGCGCGTCCGCGCTGCGCAACCGCTACCGATATAAAACCGTCGATCGCCCCATCGATCCTCCATCGGATCGTCGCCATCGCTTCCGCGATCGTTGCCGTGCACGGCGTGCTTCGCGCGCCGGCAGTCTTCGCGCACGCGCGCTTTGCGCGCGTCCGTGATGCATGTGCTCAGCGCATGCTCGGCGTCAGCGGCGCGTCGCGTGCAAGCGCTCGAACCGAGTGGCGGACGGCGTGGAGTCCGGGAAGGTGCACGAGCACGTTGAAGTACCCACCGAGCTTGGCTACGTGAGCCTGGTCTTCGCGCAGCGCTTGCGCTGCGGGGCCTTAGAGCGCGGGCGGTGGGTCGCCCTTAAGGGCGACTCTGCTCTGAAGCTCGTGCAGCTTCAGAGCATGCAGTGCACCGTCGCGCATGGCGCAGACCTGGCGCGCGTGCCGCGCGACGACCGCAAGCGGCCGTGAAGACATGCGTGCGCGTGTACACATGCTTGCGAGCGTTGCTCGCATATTTTGCCGCGTCGTGCTGTCACGCGTCATCGCGTGTGTTGTAATCGCGCGACCGTTGCTGGTATATGACGCGATGCGTGATGCAAGTACGTCCGCGTGTTATGCTGTCACACGTGATCACGCGTGCTGTATTCATGCGATTGAATGCGAGCGTGTCTCGCATATGAAAGGATTTTGGATGCATTCCCCGCCTCGCCGTGCACGAAGCTTGGCGCGTTTGCGAACCTCCCCGCCGTCCCCGCCGCAATGGCGCCGCGCCTCGAGCGCCGCGCCGCCGCCTGGCCCTCGGACGCCACGAGCGACGCTCAGCTCGTGGCGCCCATGGTCTTGAAGTGTCCGTGGGGCCCCATGGCGCCGATGGACCACTTGGCGCCGCGCCTCATCGAGGAGTTCCTCGACGGCGCGTTGGCGAGCAAGCTGGTGGGATGCTCGCGCGCGTCGCGCGCGCCGTTCGCCACCTACTTGAAGCTCCGCCGAGACGAGGACCCGAAGGTGGGCCTCGCCAAGCGGCTGAAGTGGACCTGAGCGCGGCGCGGGGATAGAGGGAGGGATAAGAGGAAGGGGTAGAGGGGGGGGGCATCATGGGACGATTTCTGGAGATGGCATTGCCCGAGCTTTGCTCGACTGTTGGCGGAGAGGGCGAACGTGCATGTTGCCCCACATAATGTTCGCACATGTGGTATGGAGCGGGATGAAAAGCGTCGCGTTCAGGTTGCTTCAGCCGCTTGGCGGGGTTCGCCTTCGGCGCCCCGTCCTGGCAGAGCTTCAAGTAAGCGGCGGCGTCGCGTGCACAGCACGGCGCCCGCCAGCTTGCTCGCCATCGCGCCGTCGAGGAACTCCTCGACGAAGCGTTGTGCGCGGTGGCGGCGAGCTGGAGCTCGCCGATCCGCGCCCCCACTATAGTAAGTGCGCGCTTGCCGCTTCTATGCGGCCGAAAAATATAGCGCGCGCATCGCTAGCGACGTTGATGTTGGCGGCGGTGGCGTTGATGGGGCGATGCTGATAGGGGTGATGATCATGCTGGGGAGGGATCTGATTGGGAGGATGATGAGCAGAGGCAGATGATACATACGCATCATGAGTAGTAGTAAGACGATTGCAGACTTGCGAGCATAGCTCGCAACCTTCCAAGACGATTGTAGACTTGCGAACATAGCTCGCAACCTTTCAGCTCCCCTTTCCGCAATTATCCTCGTCCTGTTTCGTCTCTGTCCCCCCCCCCCCCTTTGAGCATCATCATTACCACAACCTTCACCATCCAAATGATCATCATGATGGCAATGGACATCGCCACCATAACTATCATTATCGGCATCATCACCATCATCAGCATTGCAAGCACTCCACCGCCATCAACATCGAGACTTCTCATCCCATAACTCATCTCCCCTCCTCCCTTTCATTACTTTTGTTTGTTTGTTTTCATGTATCCCCATCCTCTTCCATCCGCCGTATCCTCTTCCCTCCCTCTCGCTCCTCCTTATCATCTTCCCTCCTCATCCTCTTCCCTCCTTCATTATCCCGCCTCATCCTCTTCCCTCCTCCTTATCATCGTCCCTATTCCTATTGTTTTTTCCATTAGTGGTGTTTGTTGTTTGTTTGTGGTGTTGCTTGCGTTTTGTTTTGGCTTATGTTCGCGTGATTATTTTTTATATAAAAAACATGTTTGTTTTCATAACATTCTAATTGTAAATCAATATCAAAATAGTTTCTTAACGCACATATCAAAACATTGTTATTTGATAGTTCAGATAGTTTGAGGCGGGCCTCTAATTAAAGATTTGTGGCCGAACTATTGTCTATCATCCTCCCCCTCCTTGGGAGAACGGTGTTCGCAAAACTTGGAACGGCCAGCATCTACGGCGTTGAGAACTTGACGGCGCATCATCGCGATTCACAACTGATTACGCTGGCCGCGCGCCGCGATGATCAACCCACGACGATACCTATCATAATACAGTCGCATCGGTCGCACTGTCTCCTTGGCCAGAGCGTTGACACGCACTCCTTTGCTCTCGAACAGCACGACAACATGTCAGCATGATGACCCCTTGCTCCGTCAAACCACTGAACCAACATCGTACAACACAACGTGTCGACTTGCCGCAACATCGGATCCTGATGATCCGCAACAGCTTGGGTGAGATGATACGGGGCTGGCGGAAGGGGGGTAGCAGAGCGACGGGGGATATTAAAGAAGTTGGTTGGGGTGGAGGATGAACGGCATCATGAGGTACCAAGGATGAGAGGGATGAGTAAGAGAAGGAGGGCGATGATGAAGATCGAACGCTCCTGTAAACACCGTATTCATTTCCAAGTGTGTGCGCGATCGTGCCTCCGAAAGGCCATGCGAATATTCTTTGTATTGTTGTAATGATGACAGAGGGTCCCCGAAGGACATCCCGGAGGAGAACTAGGGGGAAGAAGAGGAGGAAGGGAGCGGAGCAAGAGCAGGAACAGGAGGAGGAGGAGGAGGAGGAGGAAGAGCAGGAGGAGGAGGGACACGAAGCACGGGCATAACCAGGAGGAAAACGAGAGCGGCCTCTCGCTGTTTCGACCGCGAACCGACCAGTCGCGGGAAGGGGGCTGCCACGGGACTGGCCCCCTCCCGACTGCAATGGAACCTTCAGCGCGCACCCCCCCCTCCCCTGCCATCGCTCGGACGTCCATTCCCCGTGCACTTCTCGGTTTCGTGCGTGCTTTTCTCCGCGAAAGTATCCAATCTGCTCCTCGATGGTGCCCGCCGAGGGAAAAAACGCACACGTCCGAGCGATGCCACAACCCCCTGCCCTGTACACCTGCGGTGCTCCTTCCCGTCCCCCGCCCTCATTTGGTCCTCCCCTGCCCTCGCGGCTGGCCGTGCTCCTGCCTCGGGGTCCCTCCTCCTGCGAGCTCCCCCTCTCCTCCTTCTGCTCCGGGGGGGGGGTCGCTCGCCCCCTCCCTCCCCCCCACCCTCAACCTCCGTGGCGCCTCGGGCTCCTGCGCAACCCAACAGGACACCTCCACCGCCCTCTTGGTCTCCTCCTCCCCCTCCCGCTCCTCCTCCTCCTCCTCCTCCTCCTCCTCCTCCTCCTCGTGCCCCCTCCTCCTCCTCCTCCTCTTCCTCCTCCTCCGCCTCCTCCCCTTCCTCCTCCTCCTCCTCCTCGCACATACCCAAAGGCGCAACGAGGGTTCCAAGGGTCCTTACTCATCTACCTGCTGTAGCAGCTGCGCTCTGGCAGCACGAACCGAGTCAGCCATCGGCCAACCTTGACGCCTGTGATTATATGCATAAAACGCAATCGCTAACCGTTGCAGCGCCAAAACTCTCTGTTCAGGCGTCATCCGACGAGCCAGACCGAGTCTCTTGTCGAGATGGTGCTCTATCGGAAGGTCTGGTTTCCAGTGAGACTGAACAAGACCCAAGAGCGTCGGACACGACAAATAGTGCTGTTGATCATCCATCTCCGACGGACATTCAAACAGGCACTTCGCATCCTTCTGACACATCCTCCTCCTCCTCCTCCTCCTCCTCCTCCTCCGCCTCCTCCTCCTCCGCCTCCACCTCATTCCCCCCTGCCTCTGCCTTGCTGCTGCTCCTGCTGCTCTTCTGCCTGCTCCAGGGTTCGGAGGGGACGACGTGCCGTAGCACTCTGCCCCTGGACTTCTGGGCGCCGCGACGGGTTGGGGGGGATCTGCCACCCCTCGCTTGCACCCCCACTCATTTTCCGTTCACCTTCATCCTCCCCCCAAGGGGAAAGGAGCTGTGCGAACGAGACATGAACATGCCGATGTAAAGGGGGGAGCAATAGCAGCAGAGGGGGGGTCCGCCCTGCCCCCATCTCTCGTTCCCTCGTCCACTCCCCCCCCCCCCTCTCTCGGTGCACAGCGAGCCCCTGGCCAGTGTGCCGTACACACTGCAGACTCGCAGGTGGCTGGCGGGGTGGCGATGCCGGGCGCGGGGCCCGTTCACTCGTCGTCGTCCCCGTCGTCCGTGGGAGACTCGACCTGCGCGGCTGAAGGGGGAGGACCAGCAGGGAGGAGCCGATAAGATAACTCGCTGACCCAAGGGCCAGAGCAGGGGCGTGCTACGATCCCCGGTAACAATCCTAGAATGTTTCTAGTTCGCGCGCGTTCATGGCGGCCCCTGGGAGGCACTCCCGGGACGCTCCCGTCAAGGATGCGGGAATTCCCTGGGCGGCCCCAACACGAGCCAAGAGGGTTCAAAAAGGCCCCCAAGACGGTCCAAGAGGGGTTCGAAACGCCGGAAGATCGCTCCAAGGCGCCCGAGATGGTCTCTAGACGGCTCATGAGACCTCCTAGACGACCGCAGAGGCCTCCAACAGTACTCCCAAAAGGCCCGACGAGGCCCCAAGCACCAAGCAAGCAAACATCTTTGACATTCAACAAGTTTGTGAAGGATTTTCACCCTTCCGACGCTACAAGACGGCACCAGAGGCCCCCAAGATCGCCCCAAATTGGCCCAAGAGGCCTCCAAGAGGGCCCACAGCTGGCCCAAGATGGCACAAGACGGCTCAACAGGTCTCCGAAAAGTGCCCCCCAAGACGGCTCCAAGAGGGAACCCAGACAGGGGACATTTCGAGTTCCCAGCCCCAAGACCCCCCAGAAGGCCCCGAGAGGCCCCGAAGAGGCCCCCAAGAGGCTCCAAGAAGCCCCAAAGAGGCCCCAGGAAACCTCAAAATGACCCCATGAGGCCCCCAAGAGGTTCCCAAGAGGCTCCCACGAAGCTCCCAAGACGTTCCCAAAACGCTCCCAAGAGGCCCCAAAGCTGCCCCCGAGAAGCCCCCGGGAACGCTCCGAAGAGACCCCAAGAAGCATCCCTTAGGACTCTAACCCACAACCCAGGCATGACGGTGGGACCATAGAGACCAGAATCCCCCTCGACAAGCTCCAACGCCTGCTGCCGCAACGCCTGCGGGAAAAAACACCGCCAAGAGCAGCGCCGTATGGGCCACGAACGCGCAAGCAAACGCCAGCGACGGCACGCTACCTACGCGACCACCCGTCGGGTGCCAAGGAGGTTGGGGGTGGGGGGAAGAAACACATGCTGGCAAATGCAATGGGTGTGATGATGACGATGTTAGTGACGCGCCCTCGAGATAGTGCCGACGCGTGATAACGATGTTGCGATGCGATATCATGTCACTATCGTCAACGCGTTCGGTCTCACTCGATCGTCTCACTATCGACCTCCCGGCCAGACTTAGTACCAGTGGATTCAGCAATCGATCCCACGATCCCACTATAGCGATGCCACCATCGATGATTCGGTCGATCTCACTGTCGATCTCAGAGCCAGTGTCACAATCAACCTCGCTGTCGATCTCACTTCTGATCTCACGACAATCCGTCCCATTCTGGCGGTCTCACCACCGATCTCACTATCGACTCCATTGTCGGCACCAAGGCGGGACACCACCGGCCACCGCCCGGCCACCGCGAGCCCACCGGGGGGCGGAGGAGCGGTCCGCTGCATCCGATGAGTATCGCTCGACCGATTCCCATCCCCAGCGGCGTGGCCTGGGCCCCACTGGCCGATTTCCCCCCCTAGTAGATGGGGATACAGGCCGTATCCTTCGGGTTCCGAGGGGTGTATCGCCAACTGGGGGGGAATTTGGTGGGGGTCTCGGGATGGGGATTGGTTAAACGATACCGATCCGAATCGCCCCAGCGACGACGGGGTCTGGCCTTCTCGCGCGTCCACGCAACTTCGCCTCGCCCGCACGCACGACACGAACTTTCTGGTACGCAGGCGCACGATGCGAGTCGGACGCCGGGCAAGCAGGGGCAGGCTATGCCACCTGCGAAGGAAAAACAAAGCAGAAAACCCGTACGACACGAGCACGAAACCGAAACCGACTTCCCGGTGGGAGGGCTCTCCGTCTCCGCTGCGACCTCACCCCCCCAGCCTCCGACGGGCTGGCGGAAGTAGCGAAGCGGCTGAACAACATGCTAGGATCAGGCGGAAGGCGTCCGAGCCACCTGCCGCTGGGGTAAACGCTCCAGCGAGTTAGCCTGGACCCGCCGTCCTGGAAGGAGGAAGAGGAATGAGAAGGAGAAAGGAGGATGCAGGGAGAGGAGGGAGGACGAGAGGTGCCTCGACCAGCGCGGCCACCGCTGCCGCTGCCACTCGCTCTCTCCCCCTCTTCCCGAGGCGTGGTGGCACGAAAAGGCGGAGGAGGAGGAGGAGGAGGCGGAGGCGGAGGCGGAGGAGAATAATGAGGCGTCTGCCATCCGAGACCACCGCCCTCGTGGCATGCACGGTCAGCAAGAGAGCCATGAGATAACCGCGTGCTGGCGAGATTAATCCCACAGGGATGATAAAGTTCGGGGTCGCGGGGGGATTATAAATGCTGCCTACAGGAAGCCAGCATGTGGGAGGAGAAAGAGATGATGTTAGGAGGACCGAAAGCCGAGGATCGAGGATCGAGAATAGAAGTCCGAGGATCGAGGATCGAGATCCCAGAAGTAGAGAAATATAGACAGACAGAAGGAGAGAGGTGGAGGAGGAGGAGGAGGAGGAGGAGGAACGCCAAAGTTCCAAACCTATTACATTTAATTTGTAAGCAAACAATGGAAATTAGGTTTTCATCTGCTCGTGTAGGGTAGCTCACGTGCCTCGGTTTTCGTGGATAGTAAACCACAACAATAAAAAAAATCAGGGGGGCAAGGGGGGAGGAAACGGAAAGAGAAAGAGAAGAGCAGACAGAAGAGAGAGAGAGAGAGATAAAGAGAACGCTGTTGGTTTCGCTTGAGACATCCTCGACAACGTCTTCGCTTCGTGTGATGTTGCTATATCAACATGAGAAGGAAGTTAACCTCGATGGTGAACTTTCCACAGTGATAGAAAGTTCGGCCTCCGCGCCCCGCGCCCCTGACCAAACCATTCTTGGCCGTGGATAATCAACTCTAGCGTGTAAAGGGGGGAGGTCCTTTTTGCACTCCGTGAAGCCATTTTGCAGCTGAGCAGGGCATGCCGCAAAAAAGGTAACCGCTGAAGTTGCTGCGAATTTCTTACCACGGCCCAGCCCCACCAGGGCCCAGACGAAGACCCTTGGGCTCCGCAGCCCCGAGCCCCCGAAGAAAGTGCCAGCCCCTGACATGCCAAACCAGGGGCTAGAACGCAAGCACGACTTGCACACTCAGGACGAGGAGGATGTCGCCACGGCTGGAGATCCCCCTCGAAGCCCGGCCAGAATGCGCCCCCCGGGACCCTTCGGCCAGGGCGGGGGGGAGCGGGCCGACCTCTTGCCCCGGAGCCCACGACGAGAGGCCGCCTTCCGCTCACTCTCCTCTCGGGGGCGCGCAAGCATGGATTAGCAACCCATGGATTTGGCGCGCGGTCGCCAAATCCATGGATCCGGGGAGGTGCCCTCCCCAAAATGCGGCCGGCGCCGCCTCCTTCGGCGGCAGAAATCCTCGATTTCCCATGGAAACGGGACCCGTCGCTAATTCACGCACCCCTTGATCCATGTTTGCGATCGCCTGATCACTCGCCCTCGCTCTCCCCGTGCCTCTCTTCTGTCCCTCTCCTGGCCTCCTGAGCCCCATCCTCCGCAAGCGGGTCGTCCTGAGGGCAACTCGAGACAGAACAGATGCATTAGAAGAGAAAAAACAACAAACAAAACAAAAAACAGCATATACATAAACTCTCGACGGTCCTCGCGGACTTCGTGAATCTGCGCTGGGCCCCCTCCCTGGCGCGCGGTGCGCGCCAGGGGCGGCGCTGGAGGCGCCGCCAGGGGGGTCCAGCGCGGATCCAGGAAATCCGCGCGGAGCCCGCCCCGGGGGAGCGGGACCCAGCGCCGAGGCAAGAAAGCCACGAGTGCGGGCAAGACTTCTGCCCATATTGGATTTTTCGGACTGCAGTTTCCTGTAAGACCGAGGCGCAGTGGATGCGCGTTATGCATCAAAATTCTGCCTCTAGAGATGCCAGACTATACACATATCCACTGCGTGTCGGGATTTGGGCATCCCTTCCAAAACATCCAAGACGCCGTGGATACGGGTATGATTCTGATCATTGCCGCAGCGAGGACCCTCACTCCCAAATCCCTGCGACACCCAGACCCAGACCCCCGACGTCATGCTTCTGTCATACGGTGGGGGCATTGGACAAGGAGCCCTTGAATAAGGAATCGAGGGCATGGAAGCCGGTGGAACACCAATCGCGGATCGGCCATGGACGCCACCGCCGCCCTCATCAGATAAGGAATCCTCCATGGTCTGAAACCTCCTGCGCAGACTCCTCAACAAATGCCCCCACCGCAACGTGGACCTCCAGAGGTCTGAACCCCTTCCCAAGGACTGCCGCCGACGACGACGCAGACGACGACGACGACGCCGACGACGATGACGACGACCACGACGACGACGGCCACGATGACGACTTCGATGGCGGCGGCGACGACGACGACGACGACGACGACGACGACGACGACGACGGTCCCGAGGCCCGGTAAAGGCCCCCAGACGCCGAAGGCGATGGAGAGACGTCTTTTTACACCACGGAAATCTATACTCAGATGCTCGCCGACGAATTTTGTCGGGCGTTCGGTAATGGGGGGGCGACAAATGGGGGGGCGTCGAGGGTTGCGCGAAAGGGGCCCTAACCGAGCCCCCTAGGGCCCCAAAGGAGTACGAAAGGTGCACGAAAAGTGCGCCTTTCTTACCCCCCATCTATCGCCCCCCATTAATGAACGTCCGATTTTGCATGTACCTTCAGGGAGGGTGGCGGTGTAGAAAATCGCTGGTTCCCGGTGGTGATTGATATGCCGCAACCCTCTCCTGAGGCCCAGGAACAATCCATTAGAGGGCGTCCGTGGAGACGTTACTGTGGCGGGGTTCTCTATTTTTCGTGCCCCGAGGGGTCTGGGTAATGCGCTCCGTTCCTCCGCCCCCCGCCTTATGTTGTTCCTATCGTACTTAAGGATCACATCCCGGAAATAATTTCGAGCACCCAAAAAAGTATCGAACAGAGTGTCTCCCAGGGCCCGGCACGTGAAAACCCTCGAGTTTCGGTTCTTTTCGCTGGTGCTCGAAATTCTTTCTGGTGGTTCAAGCTAAAATGGGTTGGAACATCATAGCCCCCGCCGCGCAGAACGGTTCCGGGAGTCTCCGGGCCTCGTAGACCCAGTACCACTGCCTCCCGGTCACCTCGGCAGGCGGGAGGAGGCAGACGAGCCAGGTGCGCTCGCGCCTCAGCCGACATCCTACAGTGGAGGCCCGACTGCAAGAAACCTTCCACAAGAACCCAACCCTGAGACCCCAGCACGCCATTTAATTTCGGTGTTGGAACGTCACGCTTCCCATCGCAAGACCATCGAAAACCAAGAGACCCAGGGCACCCTGGAGGCAAACAGGGTGTTTCTTGGGACGGGTCTCCACAGCATCCTTCCCTCCCATCCACTCCGATGGCGCTGATGTTTCAGTACCCGCGGGCGCGTGTGATAGTCGACCTGCGACTCCCACAGAAAGACCACTTGGTGTTGTGCGCAGTCGGGAAATGTGGAGCTGCGCGCACAGGAAGAGTATATGGCAGGTGACCAGGAGGATGAGCGGGAGGATAAGGATGAGGACGAACAGCAGAAGTGGAGAAAGGGACGGATGGTAACTTGCATGCACGGAACGCGGGGTAGGCGGGCGGGCGGGACGGGTGGAATGTGGATGGGCGAAGGCAGCTGGGGCGGCGCGGAGAGGGAACAACGAGACGGGGGAGAAGGAGGAGGAGGACGACGAGGGGAAGCGGTCGCAGTAGCCCGAGCAGGGCGGATTGTGACATTGGTCCGCGCGCCTGGTGCGCCTGGCGCCCTCCCTCGCGACGCCCACCTCACCATCTGCCAGCATCAAGCGTGCTCTCCTGCTCCAGCGCCCCCTGGATCACATGATTCCCCCTCCCATCCACTCTCCCTCCCTTCAATCCTCCTCGTTCTCCTCCTCCGCACCCTCGCCCTCCGCTTCCTCCTGCACCAATGCATCCTCATCCTCATCTTCGTCGTGTTCACCAATGTCGTCTGTCTCGCCCGCAATTGCCTCCTCCTCCTCCTCCTGCACATTATCCTCTTCTCCTCCTTGCTCAAGATAAGTGTCGTCTGACGTGTGATTAGCACACATGTGCGATAGTGAAGAGGAGGACGAGGAGGAGCAGCAGTTGTAGGAACGTGGTCTAAATGATGAGGAGGAGGGAGAGAATGACGAGGATGAGGAAGATGAGGAAGAAGAGGAGGAGGAGGAGGAGGAGGAACCGTTTCAGCCGTTACAGGCGGCCAACTCCGTGGCGGTCGGGCCGCCGCGCGCGGCGGCTGGCGCTCCTGTCAGCGCCCTGGGTGCCCCTCGTCCTCCTTAGGCTCCGCAGCAGCGGGGCGGCGGCGCGCGGCGGGCCGCTCCTTCGGTCCACGGGCTCTCCTCGCGCGGCCGCCGTTTGGCCGCCGCCCGCCTGGCTCCCTCTGTCTGCGCGTGGCGGGTGAGCGTCCCGAGCCCACGCAGCAGCTGCCAAGGCCATGCGAGCTGGCGCTCGCATTCGTTGAAGAACTCCACTATCCTCGTGCGGCCCTCGGGGGGGGCCTCCTGATGTCCGAGCAGGTGAGCATGTCGATGCCCTTGCCCTCGTGAGGTTCCCCTTCGGAGCGCGCTGTCAAGGTCCTCTCACGTCCACTCTCTTGCCTCCTCTCCTTTGGCCGTGGTCCTCAGGGTCTGGATGATGGCTGAGTGCTGAACGTGCGGCAGATTCTGGAAAACAGATCTGCTGTAACTCCGTGGCCTTCTCGTCCACGATGGCGGTCGGGCAGTCGATGGCGCCGCCGTCGGTGACCAGCTCCTCCTCCCTCCTGGGCGGCGGTTTGGTGATGCGGTGGAGCGTGCCGACGCTCTTCTCCGCTGAAGCCAGCCACTGCCCGAACGCCCGAACGACCTGGAGTTCTCCCTGAGGTCCCTCCCTGAGGTCCATCCTGAGTTCTCCTGAAGTCCCCCCTGAAGTCCTTCTTCTCCTCAGCCTGCATGGCCATGCCCTCGATCGCGCTGGTGTGATCTGAGCCAGGCCCATCAGCCTCGTCCTCCAGAGCTCGCGATGTAACCTGGCAGTCGGTGATGCGCTCTCGCTTGTCTGTGGCGTGCCGTCGTGGGCGAGGTGTCTCCCAGCTGCCTCCAGGTGGCGCTGCCGGCCCTGCGCCTCGCTGTGCGGTCGAAGCTTGGCGAGTAGGGGCAGCGTGTTCTCAGCCCTGCTCCACCTATCTGCCTTGTGGTCGGAATAGCGCTCTGGCCTCTCGTGTTTCTCCTTGCCCTTGCGCATGATGAACTGCCTGGGGCCTCCTCTGCCACAGAACTTGGCGCGGTCCCGCGGGGCGATGCGATGCGCCATGCAGTAGAACTGTTCCAGGGGCCCATGACTGATGCGAAGAGGGTGCCCAGCGCCGCGGCCTTCTCTGCGGTGGCTTCGAACGCGGCGCACTGGGATCTGTAGCCAGGGATCTCCAGGTGCCGGGGCGCGCGCGCTGCCATCTCCGCCATGCGCCACAGGTCGCCCAGCTCCGTCGCGTCACAGGTTCGGGTTGCGCCGCTGTCCTGGCCTGTTGCGTCCAGCAGTGGCGACGCAGAACCCGCGGGCAGCTCGAGGAGCACCGCCGCGGGATTCGCGACATGACGCCCCGCGCTGTCCTGGCCAGTTGCACGTTCGAGCTATGGCGACGGTGAACCAGCTGTCGGCTCGAGGAGCACCGACGCTGGATTTGCGTTCTGACGCCGCGCGTCGTCCAGGCCAGTGCCCGAGCCGCGCGGTGGCGAGGCTGAACCAGAGGTCGGCTCGAGGAACACCGACTTTGATTTAGCGTTCTGGCGCCCCTGCGAGTCGGCCTCGTAGCGCTCGAGCGGGGGCAGAGACCAGGGCGCTGCCTCGCCGCCGTCGCCCATGACGTGCAGGTCGGCGAAGACGTCTACCTCCTCGAGGTCCATCTGGTGCTGAGGTTGCCTGGCCTGCCCTGGGCCCCCGTCGGCGCCGTCGGAGTTCGGGCGGTGCGTCCAGGCCGCGCCGGGGGAAAGGGCCTCCCACCTCGCGTCGTCCAGCTGTGCCTCTCGCTGCCTGCTCATGTCTGGCATGTCCTCGGGCGCGCCTCCTGGCGCGCGGCGGTGCTCGGGCCTCGGCTTCAGCGCGCGCCTGCAGCCCCCTCCTCGCCCTCTTGCTCGTGGGGCAGGGGCCCTTGCCGCACCTCGGCGGGTGCGCGAAGGCCTTGGGGGGGCCTGGCGTCCTGCGCTGCGCGGGCCCCCCCTGCCCGCGGACGGTGAACTTCAAGCCGGCGCGGGGTTTCCACGGTACGTCGTAAACGCCCTCTACGCCTGAGACCAGCCTGCCCCCCCCCCCCGCCTCGCTGACCAGGGCGTAGTCGATGTGCGACGGCTCCAGATCCATGCGGGAACGTGCGCTGTGGCCCTCTGGCAGTGAGATGACGGCCGCCGCCCCCAGCCCGAGTTCCAGAAGGTCGTCGGGTCGGTGTTGAAATCGCCGCAGACATTCCAAGCGCCCTGCAGCGTTCGGAGGAACGCCGCGAGCGCGGTGAGCTTGCGGCCGCTCACGCCCTCAACCAGTGACTTGTTGCAGTCCAAGTGCGAGCTGGCGACGGTGAGCGTGGCGCCCTTCAGGTGCCACTGCGTCGGTGTCCAGTCGCACATGTCCTAGCCGCGTTCTCAGCCAGCGTCCCGTCGAACGTCCGCCGTGGCATTCGAGACCTGCCGAGCCTGGGCTGGGTGCCTAAAGCTAGTCACGCGGCGGTGGCCCTTGGAGACGATTGCCGCGCCGCCCCGGGGGCCCTTTCGCGCGCGTGCTGCCCCTCGCCGCGGCGCACGTAGCCTCGTGCCTCATCTTGACAAGGTCGTGTTCCACGTCGTCTATCTCGGCATGTGGCACGTGCATCTCCTGCAGCGCTATCGCGTCAAAGCCTCGCTCTGATCCACCGCAGCCTGGCCGCGGGCCCCCACGTGTTGATGTTGGCGCAGGGTAATGTCCGCGCCTGGACGGTGGCGTCGCCAAGTCCCCGCCGCCGCCGCCCACGCGCCTGCTCCTAGCGCGCAGGCGCTGGCGGGCCCTGGCCGCCTTCGCCCTGCGCTAACGCCGCCGCCGCCGCCGAGCGCCTGCTGTCCAGGTAGGCGGCTGCCTCGTCCTGGGCGGGGGTCCGCCCGGAGTCGCGAGCTGCCGTCCCCTCTGGCGCGCCTGCGCTGTTGGCGGGAGCTAGCGCGGCGGCTGGTGTCGCCGCGCCCCCTGTCGGCGGGGCCTCGCTCGCCGCCGTCAGCTTCCTCTTCTTCGCCTCCTGGGCGACGGTGCGTCTCTGCTCCAGCGCCGCCGCCTTGGCCTTCGCGAGGTGGTCGCGCAGGTGGTCCTGGAACTGGCGCGCGTTCTCCTGCGTCTGCTGGACCACCTGCCGCTTGGCCTCCTCGGCCTGGCGGCGGCCCTCCTCGTCCAGGCCCTCGTCGGCGAGGTCGAACTCCTTGCCGACGCCCGCCGTCAGCTGGCCCTCGGCCAGCTGGTCGAGGTTTTCCCGTGACCGGCTGCTCCAAGATGCCCGCCGACGGGCTGGTCTTGCCCTCCAGGTGGATGGCCTCGCACTCGGCCTCCGCCTGCAGGACCGCTGTCGCGCGCTCCTCGAGCGCCTCGCGCGCGCGCCGCGCGACCTTGTCTGTCTTCTGCTTCGCCGCCGACGCCGCCTGGTACTGCCGCTGTGCCGTCTGCAGAGCCTTCGCCGTCGTCGCCGTCCTTTCCGCGCGCGGCTTCGGCTGCCCCACCGGGGTGGCGGCCTGCAGCGCCGTCGCCGCGCCTTGGATATGCTGGCTGATCTGCCCCGCGCCTTCTAGCTGCATGCTGGAAAGGGAAGCCGTGATGAACGTCACCGCCTGTGCCAACTGCTCGGGGCCTTGGCCCTTGCCGCCGCCTTCTTCGGCCACCTGGCGTGCCTCCCGCGCCCCTGCCTGCGCCTGCGGCTGCGGGCGCCGTCGGCGGCGGCTGCTTCGGCACCTTAGGCCGTGGGAGCATCGCCTTGCACGCGCACCCGCCGCACTTGTAGTGCATCCCCTCCAGCTTGCTTCTCCGCCGCCACTCGCCGCAGGATTTGCACGCGACGTAGTCCTGAGAATGGCCCATGTCGGGCGGCTCGCCGCCGCGGTGACATCGAAGAGCAGCTTGGTAGCGCGTCGCGCGGAGCGCCAGCCGCGCCTCTGCGCGCGCCCTGCGCGCCCTCTGTGCCAGGCTGACGAGCGCTCTCGCCACGTCCTGGCGCCTCCTCGCCTCCTCGCGCCCTCGGCGCTGGGGGGCCCGATCGCGCGGGCCCAGCCGCGCCCGCCCGCCGCGGGCAAGACGGCTGCGCGGGGCCTCGCTGCGGAGCCACCTGGAGGAGGAGGAGGGGGAGGAGGAGGGGGAGGAGGATAAGGAGGGGGAGGAGGAAGAGGAGGAGGAGGAGGAGGAGGAGGAGGAGGAGGAGGAGGAGGAGGAGAGGGAGGAGAAGGATGATGATGCTGATGATGATGATGATGGTGCCGATGGGGGGTCGCCGTGGCCATAGCGTTCCTTGTTAGAAAAGCTGGCGGTGGCGATGGCAAGAAGCGACGCATCCAGTCCACGAGTGGCGACGGACACTACAGGCAGCACAGACGTCGAAAAAACAAAATTAAACCATCGAGAGAAGGCGGGTGGGCTTGGGGGCTCGAGCATAAACATTGGCAGAAGTGCGGCCACTAAACCCCTGCCCCAGCACACTCCACACTAAAGTTGTTATCGTGCCGAGGAGGGTCGCCGTGGCCATAGCGTTCCTTTTTTTCAGAAAAGCTGACGGTGGCGATGGCAAGAAGCGATGCATCCAGTCCACGAGTGGCGACAGACACTGCAGGCAGCACAGACGTACACTGTGCGACGCTACATCATGGCCGCATGCCGCAGAGACTACACATCCTGGACCGAGACAGATCACACATGGCCTCCACGAGGCAGTCGGCCACCAGCTCTGCAGCTCGGACGGGGGGGCGCGCAGCTTTGTAGCGGCAAGCCACGCCCCTGGCCGTGCGGCCGTCAAAATGTTAATGAGGTCGCTCCGTTCCCGATCACACTTTGACGCGCAGCGGGCAACGGGCGTTGAGGCGCTGGAGCTGAGGACAGTGCCAGCAGAGCACTCGTGTGGCCGATCGGGTTGCCGCTCCGAACTGGCAGAGGTCCAGATCCACTTGAAGAAACGATGGGAGACGAACCAGAGTCCGAAACTCAGGCAACGCAAAAATGAAGCTGGACCGCGGGTGTTCGAGACAGACAGGCATGGACAAGTCGATGCAGGCACGAATGACTCTAAGGGCTGCGCGCATCTCGACATTGTCAGCTACAAACGTCGGGCGCTGCCGCAGGCTAGCAGGCGTGCCCCGACCCCAAGGGTCTGACAGTGTGCGGACAGGCGGGGGCCCAGCGGCAACGAGAGCCAGCAAGCACAGACCGCCGACGATCGAATCCACCCAAGGAGTCGATCGACGACGCCCTGCTCGTACAGCACAAGGCCCACGTTTCGACCTGCGCCAAGCGAGGGACACCCCAAACCGCGGCGGCGCAATGCTTTGCAAATGGGGGCCCCGTGGGGTCCAACCACTGGTAAAACGAGCCGACGGCGACGGGCGCCCACGCAAAGGCACGTCGGAACGCGCGACGCTACTTTCTGGACAGCACGGGCGCCCGCTTCGCGACCCGAGGCGGCGCGGGCGCCGGCTGGAGCGGCACTGGCAACGGGAAGCTGCCCCTCACGAACTTGATCTCGATCAGCTCCGAGAGCCTCGCGAACACCTGCTCGCCGAACTCGGCGATTTGAAGCGGGGGGTCCCTGATCCGCTGCTGCATGCGAGTCCTCTTGCCGTGCCTCCTCAAAGATTTGTCTGATATCCATCCCCCCCCCCTCCGTGACTTCCGCTATCGTACGAGCACCCGGGAGCAAATCGCGCGAGGCCCCCCCATGACGGAGGGCGCACAAGGACGGGGACTCCTTCTGCAGCCCCAGCTCGCGCAGGGCCTGGCGGAAGTTCGCGCGCGCGTCGGCGGGCCTGAAGTTCCAGAGGCTGGCGCCTGCGGGCGCGTTGAGCGTCAGCGCGCGCAGCGCGGGCCAGAGCTCGGGGGCGTCGACCAGCGCCGACTCGTCCATCGCTCCCTTCTTGCCAGGGCGGCCCGACTTCGCGTCGTCCACGATGATGCCCCACGCGTTGAAGCCCGACCCTGGGATCAGCGGCACCAGCGAGCCCACGCGCAGCCTGTAGGCCTCCGATGGCCCGAGGTACGCGTGGAAGACCAGCGCCACGAATACCGCCATGCTGGGCAGGTTCCTCCAGATGAGCCAGCCTGCGACTGCATTGCAGCCGAGGGAGGAAGAGGCAGGCGCATCTGCGGGGGCACCGGGCGCCGCAGCCCATCGAGGGCCCGCGCCGACCGCGGGAGTGGCCGCTTCCCACCGAGGATGTGCGGCAGGAAGTGACGCAGCGCCTTGACCGCCATCCCCCCCGTCGCTGCGTCGAAACCGTCCAGCGCCAAGTCCGTCAGGAAACGCGCGATGATGCTGTCCAGCTGGCAGGCGGTGGTGAAGTTCAGGTCGTGCCAACCCAGCCATTCCAGGAATCGCAGAGCGCGGCAGCGGTGCCGAGCCCGAGTCGGGTCGGACACCGCTGAGTTCTCGAGGAAACTGAGGGCCCCCTCGAACAACTCCTCGGCCAGAGGGTGAACCACCGCCCGCGCCGCCACTATCGGAGCAGTAGTCTGCTTCAGGGCGGGGGCGATCTGCAGACAGGAGGCGCGCCTCCTCGAAGCTTCTGCCGTGCAAGAAACCATGGCGGGATGGCCCGTCCGCGACGTTCAGCTCACTAAGTATCCACCGCACATAGCACCGAAGGTCGGTGGCCAGCGCGAGCGCGGCGAGCCTCCGCAAGGGTCGCCGAAGGGTAGGCTTGCGGCCTCGACCCTTGCCAGCCGCCAGAGCCAAAGGTAAGTTATCCACGAGAAACAAAAGGCGATGGTGACGAAGCGAAACGTTGCGGGTGGCGTGCCGAACTGCGTCGCGCAGCGCGTCGCCCTCGTGCTCTAGAATGTTCTTGGACGGGTTCCAATGCCTCCTGGAGATCACGGTGGCCCACGACGAGGCCTGCACGAGCTCCTCGGGGATCTCGTTGAAGCCCTTGCTGAAACCCTCGGGGTCCGAGTCCAAGACGCCCTCGATGATGTCAAAGTCGTCAGGGGCCCCTCCGAGACCCAGCGCGTTCAAACGTGCCGAAACCGCCGAAGTACGCTGATATCTCCACCTCTCCGCCTGTCTCCCAAGTTCGGCTACCCGAGGCCCCACCTCCTTGCGAGTGCACGCGCCCACGCCGATAGGAGAAGCGTCCGAAGCCGAGATGTGGGAGCCCCAGAGGGTATCCATGCGCGAGGCCCATAAGGGTAAAGTACTTGCCGCACACCAAAGCTCGAACTTGACGGAGGCCCACAGGGGCCTGACTCCAGGGTCCTTCTGGGGCTTGAAGGCGTAGATAGACGACAGGATGCAGAGGGTCTCCCTTTTACAAATCATAGCCCACGTGATGTGGCCCAGAAGGACTTCGATCATGCGAGGCGAGGCGGCGCCTCGCCGCAACGCCGCCAGCAGCGCCTGCCGATGCCGCAGGACGCTGGCAGGCTTCACCCTCGCGGTCCCAGTTGCCGTCGATCTCGAGGCCCGTGAAGACGGATGCGGCCGAGGCGGTATCGATCGAGTGCACAGGGGGCCCCCAGGCTTCCAACGTGCGAGTCACCTCATCCCTCTTGGAGGTCACGGCGATGGGGTCGCCTCCCATGATGGCGAAGTTGTCGACGTAGCCCGCGGCCGCCACGCTGTCCTTGGCAGAGGAGGACGGGGCTCGGGCGGCCATCCTCGATGAGGTCGCCGTCGCCAAACCCGCAGTGGACGAGGGCCCTCCCCATGATGCTCTGGCAGAACAGCAGCGACCATCTCCAGCCCATCGGCAGGACGCGCACCATCGGCTGGAGGAAGCAATCGGCAGGGATGGGAAGGCCGTCGAGCTGCTTGACATTGAGCAAGCGATTGGAGATGGTGGGCAGCGTGAACAGTTCCCCCATGCCCTTCGGCACGAGCACGTGGTAGAACGCGCGCTGGATGTCGCCCTGGGCCAGCGCCGCGGGGTGGTCCGACTCCTGGGCGGCCAGCGCCGCCGCAGTGGGGGGCGTGGTCTTGGGCGGCGCCACGAACCCCTCGTTCGCCACCCTGGTGTCGAAGACGAGGCGAAGCGCGCCTTTGCCAACCTTCTCTACAATGAAAAAAACCCAAGCTATATGGATCACCAGCCCGCGCCACGCGGGAAGAGATCACACCGCCCTCCAGCAACTTCCCCACGGAGCCGGCGCGGGCCCTGGGCTTGTCGCCCAAAGCCGGGTCGACGCGGGGAAATGAAGCAGACGACTCAACCTTGAGCATGGCCCGCCCCCATCCCGACAGACATTCGCGCTCGGCCCCCCCGACGAGCTCAGCGACATCAACTGGGGCCGTCAAAAGATCAGGCCAGGACACCAGGTCCTTCTTGTAGGGCTTGACGCGCTGGGAGTCAGAGGAGTGCCCAGGCGCCGCCGCGAGCAGCTCTGTCAAAGCTGCTTCGCCAGAATGAGCATCCTCGTGATATTCAGGAGGTAGCGGGAAATGCTGATAGGCCTGAGAGATGCGATCCATCGCGCTCGCCTGCGCCGCCGATGCCGTTAAAACAAGAGGGGCAGACGCTGGGGAGAAATGGCCGCTCAGCTGGTTCAGGGCGGCGATGGCGCCGTTCGCCCATCTCCGCCGAGCAGCCCCGCGCTGGGCGCGCTGGCGCCCCCGACGGCTGCGGCGAGCTTCCACGCGAGCGCCCGCCGCCAGAGCACGCAAGGGGAACGCATCACGCTGACGAGCTCCAGGATCCATCGCGAAAAAACGGGTGGGGGCGCGGCCCCCGCGAAAACGCAGGACTCACCCGGGCGGCGCCGAAGCGCCTGCGCCCGCCTGGGAGAAGCTCTCGAGGGGCTATGCGCGCGCCGCCCGCTCCTCGCGGGCTTTGCGCCTCTCCTTGGCAATGGCGGCCTCCGCCTTCAACGCGTCGACAATGAAGTCCGTGAGAGCTGGAGCGATTTACAGGTTGCCCTTGCTCGCCGACACTCCCATGTAGTAGTCCGCCTCCACCGCCAGCAAGCTCGCGCTGGCAGCTTTGGCGCTCTCGTTCTTCCCCGCCTTCTTGTCCTCCGCAGCCACCTGCGCGGTGACGGTGTCCTCGTAGTGCCGCTCCTCGACGAGCTGGATCTGGCGGCAGATCAGCTCATACGACGCCATCTCCGCGCAGTTAACCTGGTCGTAGCAACGCCCTATCTCGAACAGCCTGCAGTTCATCTCGTGCTGCCGGCAGATCGAGTCCGTGTCGCGCAGCATCGCCTCCGCCTTCCACATGGAGTGCCAGGCCAGCGGACCGCCTGCGTTGCGCCTCATGTGGTCGAGGCACCACTGCGTAGTCCGCGGACCCTTGATCGGCCAGTCCGCCTGGGGCGTGGAGGACGCCAACAAGGCCGCCGACGTAAAGTCCAGCGCCCGCCGCCCATCCGCGTCGCGCACTATCGGGTGCACGCGGCAGTCGGCCACTGCCACCCCGCCAGCGCCTGCGGCAGCCGCAGCAGCCGCGGGATTCCCCGCTGCCGCGGCGGGCGCGGCCGCAGGGGCTGCAGCGAGCGGCGCGGGCACCCCCAGGGCGGCCGCCAAGGCCCCTGCCCCGCCCACGCCAGCGGCGCCGCCGCGCGGCAAAGGGGAGCCGCCACCACGGCCGCCGCGTCTGCGGGGTCGTCCAGCTGCACGCGCTGCGGAACCCAGGCGGCCCCGCCGCCCACGCCTGCGGCCAGGACGAACGGCGAGGCGGGCATGGGCACGCCTCGCAGCATCGCGGCCGCCCGCAGGTGCGCCCACATGGTGACCGCGTCGGGTGCCGCCGCGAACCGATACGTGTTGAGCTCCGCGACGCCGAACAGCGGAGCCCCGAGGCCTCGAAGAGGCCGCACCTCGAGAACGTCCGCATCCACGACCGTCGACTCCTCGTAAACGTCTCCGTCCACCGTGAGGACCACAGCTGCGTTGGGCGGCACGTCCAGCAAAGTGATCCGCTCGTGGTATACCGCTGGTCCTCCCACACGATATCGAACGGCATGCACATCACCTGGCCGTGGCATTCTGAATGGCGGACCCGCGCATGCTGCGAAGCCAAACGGCGAAGCTGCTCGACTGACGGCGCCTCGCCCTCCGCGCCCGCGCTGACCGCCTCCGACGGGACTGAAGACCCCACCTTCCCAGCCTGCGACCTCCAGCTCCAGATCGTGGGCACCACGAAAATGCCCACCAGCAAACCGAAGAAGAAGACCACGATGTGGCTGCACCAGGCCGTCAAGACCTGCAGCGCGTAGGGCCCGTCGATGTTCGGGCAGGAGACGCTGTACGTCGGGGAGCACTCGCACGCACAGGCGGGGCACGCGGGAGACGGTGCGGGCGTGGCCGACCACACCACCAGGGCCTGCGAGGCGCCGCGCGCGAGATCCGAAAGGAAACGCGCGGCAGCGGCTTGCATGCCCCTCAAAAGCTTGAGCACGAACATTGGCAGATGTGCGGCCACTAAACCCCTGCCCCAGCACACTCCACACTAAAGTTGTTATCATGATGATGATGATGATGATGATGATGATGATGATGCTGATGATGATGATGATGATGATGATGATGATGATGATGATGATGATGATGACGATGAGGATGGGGATGGGGATGGGGATGGGGATGGGGATGGGGATGATGATGATGATGATGATGATGATGATGATGATGATGATGATGATGATGATGATGATGATGGGGAGGAGGAGGAGGAGGAGGAGGAGGAGGAAGAGGAGGAGGAGGACGAGGAAAAACACCGAGCACTGGGGGCATGACCGGTGGGGGTGAGGAATTGCGGCCGCAACAACCACCGAGGCGCCTTGACCACCATCGTGGTGCACATCGCCTCTTCCAGAGCGTAGATCGTGGTGAATGCCTGCGGGGAGCAAGAAAGCAGAGGAAAGGGGCACGAGAAAGGACGGAGGATGAAGGCGGGACGGAGGAGGACGAGGAGGAGGACGAGGAGGAGGAAGAGGACGAGGAGGAGGACAAGGAGGAGGAGAAAAAGGCAGAGGATGGAAGGAAGGACTACGAGTGGGGACTGCTTCGTGAGCAAGGGGAAGAACAGCAAAATGAAGCGAGGATGGGGAAGGAGCGGAGGGGAGGAGGAATGAGCGAGGAACGGAGGAGGTGATAAGACGGGGAAGGGAGGATGGACGCGTGGCGACGGAGCATGGAAGCGGAGGGGCGGGGCAATGGAGGGACGCACGGGGCGAGGGCGAGGAGAACAAGGATGACGAGGCGGACGACAAGGATAGGCAAATCTAAGCGCTCCATACGGAGCGCAACGCTCCTACGACGGGCGCGGCGACCTGGCCGCCCCGCGAGCGCTACGCTCTGGAGCGCTTGCTGTGACAGGCACCGCCCCCGACCAGGCAGCTCTGGGCGTCGAGCCCCAAGGGCGGGCGGGCGAGGCGGCCGCGGGCGAACTCTGACAGAGGATCGGGCGGGCGGGCCAGCACGGCCGCCTGGCCCGCGCCGCAGGCGAGCGCACACCGCGAGCGTGGCGCGAAGAAACAAAATCATATTTTTGCAATGCAGCGAGCGCCAGGATGCGCCGAGGCCTGCCCTGTGCGCGATCGCCGCGGCGCGTCTGCGCGCGTCCGCAGTTGGCCCGCGCGCGTCCACGCACAGAATCGCAATGAATCTCGCGCAGGGCAAAGAATGGGGCAGCGCGCCCCGCGGTCGAGCCAGAAGCGTCGCGCGCGCCGCGGCGCCACTGGCACGCCGGACCGGCCTGCGATTTGCGCGCGCGCGCATTGCCCCCCCACACATGGAGGCGCTCCTTACACGCGCGCCGAACCTCAGGGCGCAACGCTCTAACGTTAGGTCGGGCATGTCCTCCCACAGGCGGATGTTGGAAGAGAAATATCAACAAATTAAAACATATTCGAAAACTTGTGAAAAATGATCGACACATCGTCTCCAGACTATTGTTTAATTATTTTTGAAAATCCCTCCTGTAGAAGGACATGTCCAACTTAACTGTAACGCTGGGCGCGGTGACCTACCCAGGGTTGTCGCTCCGAGAGCGCCACGCGTGGGGGCGCTCGCGGTGACAGGCCCAAAGATCGGATGTTGTGATTTTTGTCCATGCGCGGTCCCCGGAAGCCTCGACCCATTCCCCAAGACCGGTTTTTTTCCATCCTGAGTCGTTTTTAAGGGTCCCTGAGCCCGGCGATGGCCTCTAGAGGCCGAAATCGGCGAAACACCTCCGTCTTGATTTTTTCACTGCGCTGGATCTCTGGGGGCGCCGCCCCCGACCAGGCCAGCCTCGGCATCGAACCCAGAGCCGCAGGCTCCCAGGCTCGCTTGGCCGGGGCGCGCGAGGCGGCCCAGGTGGACCCGCCGAGGCAGGGCGCGGGGCGCGCCGACACCGCGCGAGCTCGTGGACGCACGCAGATCACGGTCCGCTACACGAGGCGGCGGTCACTGCTTCAGCACCCCCCTCGCGCAACTGCCTGGCCATGGAGTCACATATGTAGTAAGATTAGGTCGAGCATGTCCCCCTACAGGTGGATTTTGGACGAAATAAACAATACCCCAAAAAATCCCAAACCATGTTCAAAAACTGTAACAAAAATCGTCCCCATACGATTTCTGGACTATTCGAATACTCCTCCTGCAGAGGGACAGGCCCGATCCTCGGACGCCCCAGAGTTGGAGCTCTTCCAGCGGCGCGCTGCCGAATAAACATCTAAGGGCGCAGGGGGGCTCCTGGGAAACCTACTCGTCCTCAATATTGATTTTCACCGTATCGACGTACTCCTGGATAGGGGATCTTCTTACCCGGGTCAATCCAATCCCGGGTCAGCAGGAAACCAAAAAACTGCAACGCAGGTCTTCGCAAACCTGGGTCAGCCAACATGCGCGGCCGCCTCGCGGCCACGAGCGGCTCGCTCACCCGGGTCAGCCCGAAGGGGTCTTTGCAGGATCCGGTGCCCTGGCTGACCCCCGTTTGCCTTGACCTCCGTCTCTTGAGCCCACACTGGAAGCGCAGGACGTCCAGCCGGCGCCGCGGAGCATTCTGGCACGGTGGCCGCTGCACCGCTGCCGACGTCTCCGCGTGCTCTCTCGTCGGACAAACCTCGGCTCGGGAAGCGTGCCGCGGTGGGGTGCGCCTGCGTGCGGCGCCGCCGCCCGCCGCGCGCGCTTTTTGCAAACGCAGGGATGGAGACGACCCCGCCGCAGGAGGAGGACAGCGCGGCCTGCCGCGCACCGGAGGGGGAGGAGGAGGAGGAGGAGGAGGAGGGGGAGGAGGAGGAAGAGGGGGAGGAGGAGGAGGAGGAGGAGGAGGAGGAGGAGGAGGAGGAGGAGGAGGAGGAGGAGGAGGAGGAGGAGGAGGAGGGAGGTCGGAACGGCAGTGCCCCGGCAGAGGAGGAGGAGGAGGGCGGCTCTGGGACCACCTTCTCACAGAAGCACTCACCTGCTTTTAGCTGGGTGCTGCAACAACTTCTTCGTTCGTCGTGGACACGACCCCGCCGAGGATGCGGGAACGTGGGCGAACCGGCGCGGAAGCTTTCGAAAGCTGCCGCGCCGCGTGTGCTGCGCACGTCGCTGGCGAACTCGCAGACCAGCAACTCCGCGCCGCCACTGCAGGGCCGTCGCGGTTCTCGCGCCGCGAGAAACGGATCGCAGCCGCATCGCCCGATAAGAAGGTGACGACGCGTGCTCGTGTGTCGCGCAAAGCCAAGTCGGAGAAGGCGAATTCCTTAACTACACGCCAGAGGGTCGCCTCTCTCTGCCAGGAGGGCCTCGGAAGGCACGCGCCAAAGGATCCCCCCGGGAGACCAATACCAGCGCGCGCAGGGCACTGCCAGCACGAACAAAGTCAAGCATCACCGAGTGGCGCGAGAGTGCCACGAAAAAAGTAAGCGACCTCCTCACATAGGGTGCCGCTTCCCCGATGGTGGCTTCGCGTGCCCCCCCTGGCTGACGGATGTGCAGGGGCAGACGCGCCCCGTCCCAGCGACCAGCATGCTTCTGACTATCAGCCGTGCCACATCACTCCCGAAGGCGCGCGGGATGCGCAACTCGCGCGCGAACGATCACGGGCCGTCGGGCGACGGCGGCGGCGCGCTGCAGCCTTTCTCGCTGCACCGGCGCTGTGCGAAAGCCACCCGCGCGCGGGCCGCTGCCCCCCCCCCCCCCCATGTGAAGGGGCCCTGGGACGCACAAATCAACAGACACAAATGCCAGGATCCCCCATATTTTTCATATTTTCTCCCCCCACTTCCCATATTGTCCCATATTTTCCTGGGAGTCGACGATTCATTGTGCCTGTGTGTTTGTCCCCCGCCTGACAATGGTCCGAAGCAGCGCAGCGCCGCGCCGACGATCGCCACCGCTCGCGCGCGGGCCAGCCTTTCCTGGACGGCCGCTGGCGAGGGGGGCCCCGCGGTCGCCGCCTGCGCGGCACGCGCGCGGGCCGCAGCTTGGGCTAAGTCAGGCCTGTCCTCCTACAGGGGGATTCTGGACGAAAAATCAAAAAAGTCAGAAAATACTCCCAAATGGCCAGAAAATCCGCCAATCCTGTCGGCGTGTGGAAGACGCACCGCGGTGTCGTCGTCTTGCGTGGATCACCGTCGTCGTCGTCGTCGTCGTCGTCGTCGCCGTCGTCGTCGTCGTCGTCATCGTCGTCGCCCGAGAGAAAAGGAACTCGAACACGAAACAGGAAATCGTAGTCGTGGCGAAGCCCCTCCCTACCCTCCCCACCGGGGGCGGGGAGGGTGGGTGGGGTGGGGGGTGGGGGGTGGGTGGGGGGGCAGATACGCATCCCCCCGGGCGACCCTCTCCCTCCCTCTCCTCCTCCTCCTCCTCCGCCTCCTCCTCTCCTCCTCCTCGTCCTCCTCGTGCTCCTCCTCCTCCTCCTCCTCATCCTCCTCCTCCTCCTCCTCCTCCTCCTCCTCCTCCGCCACGTCTTCATTTACCCCCGACGTCTTATCACGCATCCCATCACCTTCGAGGGCCGAGGTATCCAGGGTCGGCGGCACTGGCCGTAAGGCCTTAGCAATGATATTTAAAAAATCGTCCCCAGACTATCTTTTGACTATTTTGGAATATTCCTCCTGTAGAGGGACAGGCCCGACTTACAGGTTGGGCGCGGGCGGACGCTGCGCGGCGCTGCGCGGCGCTGCACTGCGCTGCGCCAGCGCGCGCTTCGTCGCGCGGTCGCTCGCAGTGCCCCGCGCAAGCTCGCCCAGGCCGGCGCGCGCTGGCCGGACCGCTCGGTGGGCCCAGCGCTCGCCAGCGCGCCACAGAGGCCCCAGGACGACGTCTGGGGAGCACTCTGCACGCTGGCCTGGGCGGAGGAGGCAGAGGCGAAGGGGGGAGGCAGGGAGGGAAGCGAGGCGAGGCGAGGCGAGGCGAGGGGAACGGGTGAGGGGAAGGAAGGGGGGGGGGGATGGAGGAGGGGGGGGAGGATGGGGAGGAGGGATGGGGCGGAAAGCGGGGGAAGGAATGGAGGAGGGGAAAGGAGGATGAGGGGATAGAAAGGAGGGGGAGGCATGGAGTGAAAAAAGAACGGGGGAAGGGAAGGGGGGGGAGGAATGGAGCGGAAAGGGGGGAGGGGCAGCAGCGGGAAGAGAGGAAAGGGGGGCCAATTGGGGGGGGAGGCGGAGGAAGGGCATGGGAGGGAGGGCTGAGGGGAGGAGAGGGGGAGGAAAAGGGGGAGAGGGGAGAAGGGGGAGGGAGTTAGATTGTGTATGAGTTCGGGGTAAGAGGCTTCAGAACCATCAGAGATGTTCGAGATATGTTTGAATGCTTATTCGACTATCCGTATACGTTATGGCTCAAGCCATCAATGGTTCGACAACTCACGCTGGAAAACTAATTTTGGTAGCGCTGATGTGGTGGCATGTCCTTTGAGACTCGCCG